ATTAACTGGTTTATAAAAAAATATAATATAACTTTTAACTTTAGTACCCAACTATTAATTATTTTATTTATGTTAAATATCATCAGTAATAAAATAAAATATAATGAATATTTTTTTATACTTTTTGAACATTATATGTTATTATTTAGTAAAGTTATAGATTTTATATTTATAATTAATTTTTGATATATATATATATATGATTTTTATTGATCCCATATTTTAAAAGAATATACAATAACATGTATAAGAGACTGCAACTAAATTATGAAAGTTGATGAATATACAAACTAAATATATCTATTATTTTGTATAATTATATTTATAAAATAATACATGTATATATATATATATATTGCACATTATTTCTTTAAATAAATTCGTTTTATTGTTACATAAGTATGAGAAATGAAAATGTTAAATTATAATTTTAACATGGTTAAAGTTTGGTTTAAAAGTGAATGATAGAAAAAAAAAACCTATACAATTAATAATGAAAGAAATAAGTTATGTGTAGTGTAGTATAAAAGAAAAGGTAGAAAAAAAAAAGAAAATTGCCCATTGGACATCTGTGTCTCTCCCGTCCTTTTCTCTTCCTCTCACGCAGTACAATTTTTTTAACACATAAAATGATCTGGAAGCAGTTCATTAATTTTTAAATATTTTTTTCTGGATCTGCATATTAATGGGTGAATGGACAGTATATACAGATGGAACTGCATTAGTTTTGGTTCTGCTTTTCTTCTGCTTTCCTTCTGCGTTGCATTCAAACCCAAAGCAGGGAGCTGCATGTAATGATGATACCTTATTGGTTTAACTATAAGTCTATATAATTTGCAATCCCATCGCTGACGAGGCTTGTCAAAAAACATCTTGTTCTGCCGTAAGCAATAGAACATAGTGGTTCACGTGAAGAACGCAGTGTCAGCTTCTTGACGAACCTACGGGAACGCGAAACGTGTATAAACTGACATTGCTATGAGAAACACTTCCCACTCTTGAGAGTCCTGCTCACGTGGCCAGAGCTTTGGTATCGTCGACATACACACAATCGTTATGGTACACCGTATAAGGAAAAAAATTCAGCAGCATTTAATGGTGAGTGACTATGATTTGTGGAAGATTCTTAAGTATTGTTGACATGGCATGCAGTAGTCCACAAGACAAGAGGGTGAAGCTAAAGTTTAGATCATTTTGAGAAACTAGTTTAGGAGACATCACATCTTGTTCTGCCGTCATAATTAGATGTGTACTGCTTGTGTTGATAGACGATTGGACATGTCATTTACCAAAACATTATTCAGTCAGTTATATTTTATTTATTCATTTTACATCTGCAATCGATACTACGTTCGTACGTTTGAATATTAAATAGCATGTCCTGAGTCCATAACCTATGCTTTTTTTTTATCAACTCCATAACGTATGCTTTGATTGTATCTCCATATATGTTTTCTCTTTTGTTATTCAGTTACAATAGAGCATCAATTTATTCATGAATGTGATTATTTTGCTATCTGTTTAATTTGAAATGTTAGCGTAATAGATAATATACTTTAATAGATCTTAATATCTTATGTTTTTGCTCAAAAAAGATTTTTTGGCATACAAGAGAAATGTTTAATTACTATACCGAGCGTGATTAATATATAATGTCATATATAACTAGAACTAACTAATCCGATATAGTTAACCATGTGAAGATGATTTAGTGATAGACGGATTTTGGATTGTTAAATAGTCCGATTCGAAGGCATCCCAATATATTTCGTGACCGTACATATATGGACACATTGTTTAGGGTCTATTTAAATATCCGGAGAGATAATTTTTCCGTTAGAAAATTAGTTTAAAATTTCCCACGGATACAAAATACCCTCATATTAATTAAAGAAATATGATACCAAAATGCTTACAAATGATAAAAATTTTACGGTCTATTTTTACTAGGCAAGAAACCGCTATATGATTACTATTTTGATCATAAACTAATTTAAAGGAAGGAAATTGGGGTTTGTTGAACAATACCCATGCACTGTTGATCTCTTCTGGGGTGAAATCATTCAAACAAAATTTGTTGAACAATGACGATTATGTGTGGATCATCGTCATATTTATCTTAGACTCTTCATTAATTCTGGAATTTAAAATAAAATTCCATACATATTTCAATCAGAATTTATATAAATTCTTGTAAAACAAGTTTTCAAATTACTACTCACTTTTGTAACACTAACTCTAACGGTATGAGAGGATATATCTGTTCCATCGAAGAACTTTGGATTTATAGCCTTCAAAGAGAGAACGTATAACAACACCTACGGCTGAGCAAAAAAACTGAATCCAAAAATTTGAATCGAACCCGACCCGATAAAAAAGAATTTGAACCGGTCCAAACCCAACATAGTTATGGATTTTATTCAAATCTAATCCGAACTTAAATGGACATCCGAAAGAATCTGAAACTTTAAAATACCAAAAAAAAATGTGTACCATATCCAATCTAAATTTCTAATATGCTTTCCCAAAACATATTAATATATTAGTGAGTACCTACAATAATTAGTTATTATATGAATAATTAACTCAAATATTTAGTCTAACTAGGATAAGACCTGCGCCTTGCGCAGGGTGAATATATGTAATTAAAATATAAAATTTTAATATTCACAAATTTAAAATTTACATATGATTGTTTTTGTATGTATTTGAAATTTTAGAATTTTGGAATTTTTATATAATTATCTATACGTATGATCAAAAACAACTTTAATTAGAAATGTAAATCAAATCTTAGAAT